CTCGCGAAGTTAACAGAAAGTACGATGAATCATCGTTGGCGGCGGGAGATATAAACGCAAACCCGGGTCAAAACTCACCAGTTCTCAAGATCCCCCCGGAGTGAGAATAAGTAGTGCCATCCACTTGGATCAACGTTAACCTCTATAACAGGTAATTTGAAATACTGTTTGATGGTTTTGTGTTTCAGATTTCAAGTTTGTAATGCTTTAGGATATTTACATTCTTTCAATATACATTATAAATTTCAAATGATATTAGGACTTTTAAATAACCCATTAAAACTAACAATCAGCTCGGTGTTTCACTAATTTCTCAGGTACTATTTCTTGTTAGATTATTGTTTTTTATGCTGTGTCTATAACTCACCTTACATTATCATCATATTGGTCAATTTATTACCCATTTCTTCCTCAGTGTGATAACATGGTTATACCTATAGATATATGATTTATCTTCGTGAATGTAGGGAATGAAAGTTAGCATAGACCTATCACAGTTAGGCGTATTTGGTATTTCTTTTTAATGAAGTGGAACCGTTGGTTTCTCTTGGTTTTGACATCAAAAGTTATGGGAGGATGCTCTCTCTTTTTTCTATTCTTATCTTTAATTGTTATTTTCTCTCGTTCGGTCTATCTCTATTTTCTTTCTATATATCGTCGTCTTTTTGTTTCTGTTCATTCTCTCTCTCTCTCTCTCTCTCTCTCTCTCTCTCTCTCTCTCTCTCTCTCTCTCTCTCTCTCTCTCTCTCTCTCTCTCTCTCTCTCTTCTCTTCTCTCTCTCTCTCTCTTCTTCTTCTTCTTCTTCTTCTTCTTCTTCTTCTTCTTCTTCTTCTTCTTCTTCTTCTTCTTCTTCTTCTTCTTCTTCTTCTTCTTCTTCTTCTTCTTCTCTTCTCCTCCTCCTCCTCCTCCTCCCCCCTACCCCCTGTCAGATCACCGCACCGTTAGTTGTCTGACCAGTTTAAATTTATTCATCGCCCGCTTTTCTAACCTGGTTTTGCGGAAGGAACGTGACAGTCCAGGTGCTGACTTGCAGTGTAAACTATCCGTGCAGTGTTCTGTTTGCACTGGTGTGGGGCAGTGACAGTGCTGTGAATGGTTTTGTTTTATAAACTAGTTCTCGTATATTTAACATTTTATATTTAACGCACGCATACGCACGCTCAAGCACAAACACACACACACACACACACACACACACACACACACACACACACACACACACACACACACACACACACACCGACAGACAAGTACACATAGATACAACATGGAAAATAATGATAACGGAAAAACAAATGAGGAAAGTGCCAACCTGAAAAATGTTTCCCTCCACAGACAAAATGCGTTCGTGGACCTTCCTGTTGGCGCTGTCTGTGGCTGTGGTGTTTGCCGCCGCTGTGGCAGGCGCCGTTCCACTCGGCCCCGACTTTGAAGAATCAGAGTAAGTTTTTTATTCTGTTTTAATCTGAGTTATTTTACAAGATTGTTTGATTACATTTTTTTTTCTGCAGTTATATGTGAATCTGATTTTTTCTGCATTGTATGTAAATGTATCTTTGTATCTTCCATCGCACCTGTCCGTAATATTATTTTTCCTTTCATCAGGAACACAGGATCAAAGACCTGGACTGCCATCAAGAGCTTCTTCCGCCCCGTGACCGACTACTTCTCCAAGGAACTTCCTCACAAGTCTCCCTCTGAAGTTGCCGATGATGTCAAGGATAAGGTGAGTCGTTGTTGTTGTGATGTGATGGCCGGTCTTTAAGATAGTGGTGATAATAGCAATAAAACCACAGGGGGTATTGATGATAATAATAGTAATGGTAAAGATAATGGTAATAGCGAAGTGTTAGAATGCATTTCTGTGTTTTTAAGAGAGCACGTAGAAGACATAGTGGGATTGATAGAGACTTCAAAATTTTATTCCGATAATCAGCCTAGTGAGACCTGTATTCTAATAGAAGCGTTGGGGGTCAGAGTGGGATGACTCACACTCACTCACGGTTGCCTAGTCGCGCCGCGGTCAACAGAGCGCCATAAACTCGCCTCGCTCTGCTCTCGGAAACCGAACTGAATGGGATTTAAGGGACTATTTTCTCTCGCCATTTGTCTTGTTTTGATTCATGTTATCCGATTATTCTTCATATTAATCGTTGTTTTTTTTTGCGATTAAGGTTCAAAGGAAGACGTACTATTTTGTGATCTTTATAGCTTTTCGTTGAATACTGGAGACTATCCGTTCATCGCATATTGTAATAAGTTGCTATTAGTATTTTTTCGTCTGCTGTATCGGTTTCCTCAGTTTTGCAAATTGGTCTTAATCATTCTTACCCGTTTTCTTTACTTGGCTGCGTTCAAAGACGGCTATCAACGTCGGTAACAAACAGCAAATCATAATACAAGGTTGAATGAACGCGCCTCGCCGCTTGCGTTCCCGGGTCTTTTTTTGCACAAGGAAAGAAATGTTGCGAAGAAGAAAAAACAGAAAAACAAGTCGTCTTTTCACGTGTCGAGACGAATGAAGAGAAAATGGAGATATTCACTCCTTTCTCCTTTTTGGTTCAGTCCTTGTTTATCCGTACCCATCCACCTAAATCGGAAACGAATGTAAGCGAAATAATTAAGTGAGCGAAACAAAATATGATAAAACAGAAAATATAGAAAATACATATAACACAGTTTCGCGTGTGGTTTTGAAGTCCAAAAACTCAAGTCCGAATCGGTGTTTTGAAACTTCCTTAGTCAACTCTGCCACAAGAGAGAGTCATAAGCTTGGTTGTTCACAGGTAACGGACGCAAAGGAATGGATGCAAGAGAACGAGTCTGTCCAGAAACTGTGGTCTGCCCTCCAGCCTGTCAGGACCTGGATGAAGGTATGTTAATACGTCTGCATTGCTGTTTTACTATAGCTTTGGTTTTTAGTTTCTCTCTCTCTCTCTCTCTCTCTCTCTCTCTCTCTCTCTCTCTCTTCTCTTCTCTCTCTTCTCTCTCTCTCTCTCTCTCTCTCTCTCTCTCTCTTCTCTCTCCTACTCTTCTCTCTCATTTACTCGGATATTCACTTGCATAAGTTCAGCCTCTTTACAGTTATAATTTCAGCTACTACCATTAGCAATTCTCTTATCATTCTTACTATTAATGATTTCCGTTGTTATTGCTTTATATCACTGTTGCTATTATCACTGTTCTCATTATTCTTAATTTCTCTCCAAAGGAAACCGCCACCACCTTGAAGGACAAGAGTTTCAAGGAAATGTTCGAAGACGTGAAGGGCAGAGTCGGCGAAATCGACCAGACTGTCGGAACGTGGATCGAGAAAAAGACAGGCGAAGCCGAAGCCAAGTAGGGTTTGAAACACGGTTCACTCCCCTATTCTACATGAACAAGTGCCTTCGAAACCTAAAGCAGTTGGCTTAGGAAAATGGAGGATGTCTTCAGGTGCTTTTAATTTAAGTGTGTAATAAAGAATAACTATTTTTCCTTTCTATGAAAAGAGAGAAAAATGATAAATGATTGTATGAATGCGTATATTTTGTTGAATGTTCTGTTGCTCTACCTGCGGTTACCTGTTATACCTGGCATTAAGGGTTTTGTTGAATTTACCAAAGAAATGGAATTTCCATTTTTGATATTCTTCAGAGTTGTGATATTTGCTGCAGTGCAAATGAAAATAAAAGTGAATTTGTTATATTTTCAGGTTTTATTGTTTTCCCCCCATTAAATGAAAAATATTTGTGAACAGTTTTAATCTTTCCGAAAAATCAGGCGTGCGATATTGTAAAATACGATTTTAATTAGCAAACGTTTCTAATAAGCTATTCAAAGACTAGACAGTAAAAGTGGTATTTTTCGAGTATATTGGCAAAAGGGTATTTATATGGCTTACGCATATGTTTTCGTTTATTAAGATATCACATTTGGTAAAATCAAAACCACATTAAGTATGACCGGGATGCACCATGGTTTTGCAAATGCAGTGATTGTTTTTCAAGGTCAAAGCGCCGTGAATGACCTAAACTCCAGGCTGAGAAACTACCTTGCCAACTCCTCGAGGCTTGTATCCTGTTACCCAAGTTCGAAACCTGTCAATGTAGGTGCGCTTCTTCCGCCCAACTTTAATGGTCTTCTGTGATTTTTTTGGTTTCGGACAACTTTAAAGCTATCCAGTCACTAATGTAACGCTGGAAAGAGTTATACGCTAACTCGCCTTTTGATTTTTTATATGAAACCGTTACTGTGATCGAAGTAGTAATAACATTTTTTTCATTATAAGCTTGGACAAAATATCTTACCATGAACAAGTAATAATTATTTATTTACTATAGTTACATAAGAAGGATTATCTAAAGAAACCATAAACACACAACAAAATAGAAACAAATAAGAAACGGGCTGAGTTCGTATAGAAGGAAGCCAATGGAATACTGAGCCGTACTGGTGGGGTTAGGAGGCTGAATCGGCAGTTTTTTAAGGAGCTCATGGTACACGTGGATGGTCCCTATACACGAGAGGAAAACCGCCTCTACTACCTCTCTTTCTGTTTGTTGTTCTCTTATCTATCTTTCTTTCTCTCTCTCTCTCTCTCTCTCTCTCTCTCTCTCTCTCTCTCTCTCTCTCTCTCTCTCTCTCTCTCTCTCTCTCTCTCTCTCTCTCTCTCTCTTCTCATCCATCTCCCTTCCTTTCTCTCTCCCTGACTCCCTTTCTTTCTCCCCTTTCTGTCTCTTTCTCACTCTCACTCTCTCACTTTCTCTCAATCATTCTTCCTTCTCTCTCAGTCTCTTTCCCTCTCTCTTTCTCATTCTCCCTCTCTCTCCCTCTTTTTCTCTCACTCACTCTCTTTCTCTCTCTCTCCTTCCGTCTCTCTCTCTTTCTTTCTCACTCTCCCTCTCTCTGTCTCTCCTTCACCCCCCCCTCTCTCTCTCTATCTATCTATCTATCTATATCTATCTATTATCTATCTATCTATCTATCTATCTATATATATATATATATATATATCACACACACACACAAATATAAACAAAAAACACACATAAACAAAAACATAGACATATACGTACGCACACATAAACACACACACATACGTACATACATACATACATTCATATGTATTCTATATATATGCATATACATATACATCTATGTACTATGTATGTACATGTAGTGTATATATATATATATATATATATATATATATATATATATATTATATATATATATGCGTGTGTGTGTGTGTGTGATATACATATATATACATCTATGTATATATATATGGATATATATGTGTGTGTGTGTGTGTGTGTGTGTGTGTGTGTGTGTGTGTGTGTGTGTGTGTGTGTGTACACACACACATATACATATATATATATATATATATATATATATATATATATATATATATATATATATATATGTATGTATGTATGTATATGTATATATATATATATATATATATATATATATATATATATATATATTTGTTGTTTTCTTCTTGTTCTGCCAATTTACCCATCGAGATCTTTAGTTTTCCATTACAACAAACCGTCCCAGTGTGAGGAGAAGACTGTGGCGCAAACGAGCAATAGCAATGTTGTAATGTGTGATAGAAGAGCGGTAAACAAATATGTAGTAAAGTAGTTCTATCGCGGTAAAAGCGGTATGATTAAGTGTAAAAACTGGGCATTGTGGTGTCATGGTGGGTGGTGATGTACTGCAGTGTCTCCTGTGGTGTGAATGCGTACTACTGTGACACTGTGGCGTTCCGGGTAGAGCGTAGTGTTACAGACTGAAGCTCAAGAAATCATCACCTTTGGAACCCCTGTCATGTTTAGAAAGAAAAAGGAGGAAGAAAAAGATGGCATAAGAACTAGCCAGAAACCGAGTAGATTCAAGTAACAAAAAATGAACCTGTATTTGTGAAATGAAACTTCCCAAATCATTATTAAGTGGTATATGAAAAAATGGATATCAGTTGGAAATTTAGTTGGTGCGCCTTATAACATATATAAAGTGTGACGAAAGAATGATGAAGAAACACAAGCGTTGTGGTGTATTTTTAACAAAAAGCCCCGTCATCAAGGCTTTGGAATACGGAACATTTTATGCAAGTTGTCCCAAGGCTGCTGAGACAGCCATTAACGATCGAGAAACTTTATAAATATTAGCAAGTGAAGTGAAGATAGGTTTGCAAATGTGTAATGCATAGGGGAACGCAGACAAATTGAAAAACTCATTTCTTTTAGCAATTTGTTATCAAGGAGTGTAATAGAGATTAGGACTAAATATTTATGATTTTGGGTTTATCATTATCATCGTTATTGTTATATTGCTATTATCATCATCAAAATCATCATCATTGTTGTTATTCTTGTTGCCATTGTTTATTGTTGTCGCCATCATTATCATCATTATAATCATCATCAACATCATTATCATCACATCATAATCATCACTGCTACTACCACCATAATCATTATTATTAGCAATATTATTATTATTACTGATTTTATTACTATTTATTGCCATGGTGCTGACGATGATGATGTTTATCATTTTCATTATTGTCATTATTGCTATCATGGGATTACAGTTGAAAATATTACTAGCAATAATGAATAAGATATGATCATTAACAGCATTTCAGTATATTCATTTCTATAAGTATTATCATTATCGTCACTATAATTGTTATCGCCACTATCATCATTATTATCATAATTTTAATGTTTATTATTATTATGTTATTATTTTCAGTAGCAGTAATAGTAGTCGTGGTGGTAGTAATAGTGATATTATTATCATCATCATTACTATAATTGTTAATGTTATTATCATTATAATGAGGAAACATTTGAGAGCAATAATGAAAAAAAAATGCAATTTGCTTAAAATGTTTACATAGGCCTATGTCCGTGTTTGCTCCATTGCATATAGAAGTCAACTATGGCCCAGGGCCGAATCAGAGCCAGCTGCTGCTCCAGATACCGCCCCGTGATGATGTTCCTTTTGCTCTTCCACTTCTGCACTTCTATGCCTCTCCCGATAATAGATCACTTCGGGAGAGACAGAGCACAAAGCTGATTGGTCGAGTGTTATAAAGGAAAAAATTATTTCAATGTGCCGTTCTTGTAAAATGTCCCTAAACCGTTTCTATATGCAGATGTTTCGTAAAATTTGACGGCCATTGCTATGGTACCGTTACAATACTTTCCATGTTAGCCCTCATGAAGAACATTTGCCTCATAGTCCATTGTAAATCCGGCACTAGAAGAAAACGAAAACAAAAAGAGTTCTGGACCTTGTTAGGTGAACACATGAAAACGTGCTTGTTATGCTAAATGGTTAATCCTGAGCTGTTTGGGCAAATGAATTAGGAAATTAACTATCAAATACAATTTTATAGCATCGTCTCCCTTTAAAGCCGAAAGAAAAGGAGTAACAGAAAACCTGATGGTGACCTGTTCCTGGGGAGACTGCAGTTACTACTATGTTATTTTACATTGG